AACCTTTTTTTTTAGGTTATTTTTTTTAAAAAAAAAAAAAAAAAAAAAAAAAAAACGCTGTTAGCGTTGACAAATAATATGTAAGAATTGAAAGACCTACGAGACAATGTTAGTAAAGTAAATACAACTATTAAAATTTAGACTAAATTAATAGAAATATATTTCATTTTCTCTTAAATTTTTCAATAATATCTTTAAATTAAAAAAAATCTAAAAATATCCTTAGAATTATTATTTTTTAAAATTTTTTGTTTCTAAAATACCTAAACTTTTAAAATAGGTTAAAAAAAAAATATTCTCTAGCAAATTCCACTCTTATTTTAAACAAAAAGAATAAAAAATTACCTTTATCTACCACAATTCAAATATATTAATGAATTTTTAAAAGTAATATTAAAAAAATAAAGAGATAGTCTATGAATCTGAGAAAACCATTTAATATTTCATAAATTTTTTTAAAAATAGTCCTAATCGTAGTATAATTTTTTAACTTTTATAGAATCTAAGTATATTTTTTAATCAATATCAAAAGTTAAAAGCTATTCTTTAAATAAAATATTAACGTTTTTTTTTAATCTAAAATTAATGATAAAAAATATATATTTTTTAAGACAAAAATAGAAAGTATTCAAATTTTGAATGAGGTAATTGATTTCAAATATTTAAATATTCACCAATCAATTACTAAAAGAAAATTAAAATCATGTGAAAGCCCTAAAATGACCCTAAGATAAAAGCAATAAAAAGAAATAAAAGAAGAAATTGGTGGGATAGGGATAGGGATAGGGTTAGTGAAGAGTGCATTTGCAGAAAGGAGAAAGTGGGGGCTTTGGGGTTTGGGTGGGATGTATGAGAGGGCCCTTACTGGCCTCCTCCACCTTGGGATCGGGTTCGCCACCTTCTGCTCCGACGCCCTCCATTTCTGACATTATTGTCCTTCCTTCAACCCCCTCTCCTTTCCTTTTTCTTCCATCCCTGCCCCTCGCTACAAAGATTAAATTTGTGTTATACCAAGAACTAAATTCATATTACACTTTGTACAAATAATAATTTAATCTTTGTAGTTTTAAATTTACAAGAATTGAGTTATTCAACTTTTTAACTGCTAATAATTTAGCATCTATCATAAAAATAAATTTTACTGCGTACTGACTTTTCTAGTGCATAATTAAATTTGAAAATTGAAACTAAGTAAACTCCATTACAAATACCATTTAACTTCTATTCTTTCTTTAAATAACAAGGTAACTTTTCGTTAAGGACGTCAGCTGCTGCAGACCAAATGGATAATGATTCCATTTTCTTCGGACAGGACACTTCTAAGAAACAAACCTCTGTTTCTGTTTCATAACAACCTATTCGTTAACAGAATCATCGTTATTGTCTTCCCCACAAATTTCCACCAAAATCCTTCAATTCCAAGCCCAGAACAACCATTTGACACCGCCGAATTTGAATTTCCCATGTCAATACTCGTCTTTTTGACGGGGGTTTTCATTAGTTTGATCACATCTTCATCTTCTTCCTCTTCTTGACATGGCTTCACCCCATATGGAGCATTGTTTGCCGCCAAAGTTCCAATGGGGTAGCACAGATTCGGATTATCCCATGCCCCAAATCTCCTCCCCATCTTCCCGTAGAACTTTTCGGAGAATTTAAGGTCTCCAGATAAATTGTTCCTGAACAAGTAAATCGCACTAATAACTGGCAGAGCTGCAAGTTTTGGCGAGGGGTTTCCTGTTAGATTGTTGCGGCTAAGTCCCAGAAATCTTAGCCTTTTCAATGCGGATAGTGAATCCGGAATGTCTCCTTTCAAACCCATGTCGGAAAGATCCAAAATCACCAAGTTTTCTAGACTTTTCCAGTTTATGCTCTTGAGTTCTCCCCCGATTGGGTTGTTGGATAAAATTACTTCTTCTAACGAACTCATCTTCTCAAACGACTGTTTCAATCCACCGTAGAAACTGTTGTTGCTCAGATCCAGAAGCGTTAAATTTCCCATATCGCCGATTTCATTTGGTAAAGTTCCACTCAATTTGTTGTCACTAAGATCAAGCTTCAAAAGGGAAGTCAAATTTCCTAAACTCGGTGGCAAAGAACCCGACAATAAGTTTCTACTCAAATCCAAAATCAGTAGCTCGCTCAGCCGGCCAAGATTTCGAGCAATTGGACCAGTGAGCGAGTTTCCAGCAAGAACCAGCCGCTTTAATTTGATCAAACCGCCAAAATTTTCAGGTATTTCACCTACGAACCCATTATTTAATAAAACCAAAGATTGCAGCTTTGATAGACTCCCCATACTGGCCGGAATTTTTCCGGTGAGGCCGTCATTTGATCTGAACTCGAGAGATTCTAAACTTCCGGCGAGTTTTAGCCATTCGTCAGTTGGAAGTGAAACAGAATTGCTCCCTTTTGTTGAGACAAAGCAGCTGAAGAAGGACAGACTCTTAAGGTGTTTGAGTTCAAACAATTGCTGTCTGAAATGGGCATTTGGACCACAAGATAGCGAGTTGTCATGAGTTGGTCCAATGTTAAGTGCAGTGACATACCAGAGCCCGTCGAAGATATCACAAGAAACCCCCTGAAAAACATCTAAAAAATCATTCCACTTTGCACTATCCATTAAGGATGCAAAACTTTTTCAAACAACATATTATCCTGTTTTCTAAGTTGACTCCTAAATTGTGAAATATTAAGGCAATAATATGAACTAAAAAATCATTCCTCTTTGCACCTTCCATTAAGGATGCAAAATTTCTTCAAACAACATATTTTCCTGTTTTCTAAGTTGACTCCTCAATTGTAAAATTTCAAAGCAGAAAAATGAACTAAAAAATGGAGCAGGTTGAAGAAGAGTTACCTGTATTGGAGTCCATCCACAAGGATCTGGGTAGAGATCTGAGCCATTCCACCAATTACCCACAAAGCCCTGTATTGCGGAGTTCAGAGCATCAAGCTCTGTTTTCTCCATTGGAGCTTCTCCACCTTCTTGTGCATAGCTCCTCCAACTTCCCAAACAGACAAAGAATACAACAATAAACAGCCTCTTCATCCCCATTACAGAACCAAAATGATCACAACAATGAGAGAAAGAAATGAAGAAATCAGACGCAGTTATGTTATTCTATTGTATTCAAAAGTTTAGGGTGACATATATATGGAGAAAAGCGGTGGAACAGAGAGGATGAAATGGGTACGTGCATGGAGGTCACAAGAACAAGAAGAACTGTAGAGAAATCACACAAGCAAGCTAGAAAAAGCAAACCCAGATCAAGAAAAGGCTCAAACGAAAGAGAAACCAGAGAGATTTGTAAGGAATGAAAGTGAAAGAGATGCAAAAGATGAGAGAAATGGAAATGGAAATGGGCAAAGGGAAGTATTAGAGCAGAGAGTGGTGAAGAAAAGGGGGGGATTAGGCAAAGCACAATTCTCAAAAAAGGGCCAAAAAGCAATAATAGTAATAACAATAATAAAGATAAGAGCGCCATAAACTACTGAAAGGGCTAAAAGCCCCAACCCCAAGTGAAAGCGAAATGTGGGGCAAAGCCTTTTCCTTGTATGCATTGGAATGCCAAAGCAACTCCTTTTATCAGAGAAATAATTTAGTATAATTTTCTGTTAGCAAAATTTATTGCTATGAGAATAGGATGGCTAAAAGGGTAAAGTAGTTGGGGGAATTATGGGTTTAGACTTTAGAGAAGGTGGCTAAGAACAATAAAGCAAGCAGAGCTCTAGGATTAGGGTCAGGGTTAGAGTTTAGGGTTTAGGGATGGGACGGGGGGGAAGGAAGAGAACTAAATGGCCTTTAAAAGGTACCATTTTCTTCCCACGCAGAAGAGAGAGAAGGTGCATGTGTATGCATGGAAGGAAACAAGTTGGGTTTTGGGCATTGGGTTTTGTTTTAATTTGGATTTTGAAGTGTTGTATTAAGGAGGGGAAAAGGACAAAGGATGTATTTTAGGGTTTCACAGTCTTGAGGATCACTGCCCCAAAATTTGACAATACGTTTGTTTCCTACAAATATTTACTAATTTCAATCAAAATCAACTCCTACTTTCATTAATGCATAAAATTACAATATAAGTTCGTGCTCACAAAATTTAACAGAAAGAAAAGATACGTCAAGTGTATTTTTCTTGATTTTCATGATGATTTTTAAACCAATAATACAATTTATTGAGATACAGAGACCTCACTGTCAAAGCTGGTAAATATACTAACATTTAGTATTTTATATATAACAAAATGGAATAGTCAAACTGGTGATAAATAATTCAACCATAATATGTATTTTTGTTAGTTTAGATATTCTTTTAATGTACTTTTGATTAAAAAAATGTAGAAAAATAAAGTATAAAAAATAATGAAGTTGCAACTGAACTTCATAGGAGTGGCTAATATATAATTTAAACGTCATGTTTTCGAAACAATTCCCGATTCACAATTGGTAATTACAATAATAATGACTTCTGATTTCAGTGAATAATAATTGGAACTCAAGTCAGATATATAGAAACAAGGAGAAAAAGATAGAGGTTATGGAGAACATTTTGAAATTATAGATGGAAATGATTGATTTTTTTTACTTTTAAAGAGAGAGAGAGAGAGCGTAAAGCACTACTCTAGGAGCCCCATTGGCGATCAGCTTGGTGAACCGCGCGGCTCGAAAAGAGGACACAGTTTGCTATGCAGTTTTGCACAAACGAATCAGTGAAAGGAAAACGACATTCCATCTTTAAATCTGCACTCTATGAATTCGTAATTTCGTTTCAAATTTTTCTTCAGAGATAAAATAAATGCAATCGCAAATGCATTTTGGAATTTCGTATTAAGAGAGAAAGAAAGATTCATGAATCGGAGATAAAATGAAGAATAATCTTACAGGGAGAGAGATTCAGAAGGTGTATTAGAGGCTTCTGAGAGATTTCTAATAACGATTGATGAGGCTTGTTCAATCGCGGTGGAATTCAGGCTTTCTGGTTGATCCAACATGCAGCCGTTGAGGCAGAGCACTGGCGCTACCGCTACCGCAACCGCTGCCGCCTACATTCTCCGATGGCGAACTGACACGAAGACGCGATTTGGATCAATTAAAGCATTGAATGAAGTAAAGAGAAATGGAAAAGGAAATTGCAGCGTTGAAGGTTTTCTAGGGTTTGGAAATGGAGGCACTGAGAGGTCATTTTCTAATAAAAAATTTAAAAGAGTTTGATTTAAAAAATTGGTTAAATTATCGAGTTAGTTCTCATATTTTCAAATTAATTTTAATTAAGTTTATAATAATTTATTAAAATTAATTAATGTCTAATTAAAATTTAAAATTTTTAAATCAAGTTTAAGAAATAAAAAATTAATTTGTAATTAATTAAAAAAAGATTGAACGGTAAGAAACAATGAAACACTGAGCCATACTCATGGCGATGGCATTTGGGTTATCCGCTTAAAACATTCCACGGCGTTTGGAGCAGTTTCTTAGGTACTTTCTGCAGTCGCGAATGGTTTTGTATAATAAAAGCGCACTGCAGAAGCGCTTTTCATCCATTTCCTACCACTTTCGCCTGACAAATCGCTCAATATAACCCCACCTTCTCAATCAAGGTTCCCCCTCTAAAACCCTACTCTCTTTTTCCCTCGGATTTGTTTCTGGGTCGGAGGTTATGGCTTCCGATAGTGGTTCCAGATCCAGTTCACCGGCCGATTCGTATATAGGAAGCTTGATAAGCTTAACTTCCAGGAGTGAGATTAGATACGAAGGTGTTCTTTATAGCATCAACACTGAAGAATCCAGTATCGGACTGAGAAATGGTAACATCCTTTTCTGAAGTCTTTAGTTTTGCTATTTTCACTTTCTGGTTAGGCGAGGGCTTGACTTGTTTTCCATTGGATCCAATCCTCTTTTGTTCTCTCGGTGAAGTTCCTGACGAATCGTAGGCTTTAACTTTTAGTTTATGATTATGAAATTTGTCTCTTTTCACTCTGTTAGTTCGGAGAAACTACGAAGTGAGATTGGATTGACTGGTTAAATATTTCATTTGTCTCATCTGGTTGCTGGCCTTGCATCATTTACTAGCTATGAGATTTAAATTTTCTGAATAGATTCCTATTGCCTTGCGAATCTGACTGCTGAAACCATTACCCGGCTGCTATTGTGAAATTGAATTGCCTGCAGAGTTTGCCGATGGGCAGTTTCACATTTGTTTTCCCTTTCTCCTTTTGGCATTTTCTGTTCAATGTCATGTGTCAACCAGCTACACCATTTCCTTTAACTTTTGGTTGGTAACTTGTTTTGTGACCTGGGATTACATATCAAGCACTGCTCATTCCTTGGCATCCCTTTTGCTGAAGGCTTTTCATCAAATATTAATGTCTGCCTCTTCGTGTCAACTATATAATTACTGGCGGTTTTTAGTCTGTAGGGCTCATTGAACTTAATGATGGAATTTTTTGTCACAGATGCGCCCATTTCATTCTACGGTGCATGATTTTCCGTCTAGTAAAATCATTAGTAGGCATAACAGTTAATAGAAAGTTTAAATTGATGACTCTTATATGTGATTTTGTTTGAAGGTTCTTCAATCTATCAGTTTGGTGATAATGATTATAAGCTTCTGGCATAATTCTGGTGGATCGGATTAAAAAGGTCCCTCTGGGCACAATTTTATTTTTGACTATAAGTTGTCCTTCATAAATAATAGGCAAGAGTGGATTCCATTCTACCTTTGAATGAAATAGTGGATGACTACAGGAGAATAAAGGGCTATGAACTGTATTGCTCAAATTAAAATTTCAGTTATTATGAATGGCAAACCTAGAGGTAGAATCAAATTTACAAGGTATTGCAAGCATGGAAACCTTTAACCTATAGTTCTGTCTGTGATTACCGTTGATGTTCTATGCCATCTGCTTCAAACTGATCTTTCTAAAGGTCTGGTTAGGGGAGCCTAAGTGGTGAAGTACCTTGTTCAGATTAACGATCTTCAACTTTTGGTGGACTGGGGAATATTGCATAGGAGGTGTTCATCTTGTAACCAGGCTAACATTACTAGCTTGCTAGAGGAAGTGAAGTTATACTTGAAATAGGAGAGCATTTCCTTGAAGTGGTGTGGTGGTTTGTGGAGCATACTATAGCATCTAGCACATTGAGATACAGGGGGTTAGGGGAATAGTTTACCCGGGTTTAAAAAGACCTCAGCGATGTCCATGGGGTGTTGTAGTATAATGTAAATATAAATGGTCCCCTATTTTGGCTCTCTATCTGCCTTAATTGTGGAGAAATGTGTAAAAGTATGTAGGAAGGCCAATACTATTTGTGGGCAGTTTTACTTTTGCACATACTTGGTGGTAGAAGCTTTTGAAACTTCTGGTATTTTCTATGGCTTTTGCAACAATGTTTTGGGCTGTAGAGAGCAATTTGTTACATGGACATTCCAGTAGGGTATAAAATGCAGGCTAAAGTGCCCTGAGAAAATGCTGTTTTTGCTATCATTCAGGAAATTGTCTTGAGAGGCATTGCAGAATTATCTCAGAGGCTCTTAGTAGATTTGACTATTGTCGGGTGTTATTCATGTTGTTAATTAGTTTTTACATTTGTGTGACGCATCTACTGTTGTAGTGAAAAAAGGAAAAAAAAAAAAAAAAAAGAATCGAAAGGAAAACAATGGCTTGACTTAGTTGCTAAATTGAACAGATTAAACTTTTTATAGGTCCAATAACTATTAGCGTGGGCGGAAATTTTATTACATGTTCGGCGGAATAGGAATGTTGTGTTTGTGCATCATAGTGAAATGTTCGGTGGGTTAAGGTTGGTATTTTATTGACATGAAACCTTGGCCCATAATTGTGATGTTATAGGTTGGGTTTGTGGTAGCTTTTGTCCTGAAATCTTTTCAAATACTGGCTCAGTTTCCTCGTGTTTTAAGAAGTCATCATTTTCATCCATGGGGTGACAAACAGTTGCTGTACTTTTTAGTATATTATCTTTAATGTCATAGTGATGTATATTAAGCAATTTTCAAGGTGCCAGGGAAATTGATACTAATGCGATATTTTATATTTCTCTTTTCAGTACGTTCATTTGGAACAGAAGGGAGAAAGCAGGAGGGGCCACAAGTCCCACCAAGCGACAAAGTTTTTGAATTCATCTTGTTCCGTGGAAGTGATATCAAGGTAACTTTGATATAGATATTAACTATAACGTGGTAGTGGCAGTACGCTTAATTGCATGATTACTATGTGACAGAAAGGTATCCTTTGTGTAGATACCAATGAACCTTGTGGTGTACTTGGCACTTTTTAAAGTTTTACCTAGCTCCTATATTTGATTATATTATTTAATGCGTGCAAAAGATCTTTTTTATTAATTTAAAGATTCCATGTGAAGTAGTATCATTATTTTGTTATTATATGTTTTATGTAACATTGCAATCTTGTTTGACAAAGTACAAGTCAGCTTTTGTATCTTTGTTACCCTGTGGTAAAGTCTAAGGGTGCCCACCTGTGTTCTGATCCTCGTTTATATACATGCATATAAAACTGAACTTTTGTGGAAATGGCATCGTTGAGGCTATGTATAAGTAGTTTTGACTTGGTGGCTCTTTCTGCAGGATCTACAGGTAAAATCTTCTCCACCTGTTCAGACTACACCCTTGATAAACAACGATCCAGCTATTATTCAGGTAACATGAAATCCTCTCCCTGCCCCTCCCTCCCTCCCTCCCTCCCTTCCCCAATTTATTCTGCATAAAATGGAGGTCAACTTACAATGTATTTGGTGAAATTTCTCATGCAGTCTCACTATCCTCGTCCAGTATCTACTTCTTCAAGCTCGCTTCCTCCTGTTAGTGGGCCCTTGCCTGATATTAATTCTCAGGCCATACCTGTTGGAATTCCTGGATCTAATTTCCAGGGTGGGTTGCCTTTATATCAACCTGGAGGAAATGTAGGGTCTTGGGGAGCTTCCCCTTCGCCACCTCCTCCAAATCCAAGTGATGGTGGACTTGCTTTGCCAATGTACTGGCAAGGGTATTATGGGCCCCCTAATGGACTTCCTCACATGCATCAGCAATCATTACTTCGTCCACCACCTGGCCTGTCATTGCCTTCTTCCTTGCAGCCGCCACTGCAATATCCTAATCTTAATGCTTCTTTACCCACTGGCGCATCAAATCTATTAGAAGTTCCATCTTCTTTATTCTCTGCTAATCCTACCATTCCTAGTTTATCATCCACAACAATGCCACCAGTAACTGTATCTTCAACACTTCCATCTGTGCTGTCAGTTCCACAGGCCTCTGAGATATCATCAAGCTCAATGGCCAGCCAGAAAGTACATTCTGCTCTTCCTCAAGCTCCTCTAAGTTCCAACTTGCCATCGCTCTCTCCTTTGACAGCAAGTTCGGATGTTAGCCTTGTTGTGCCTCCAACTTCTAACAAAACTACTACAGTTTCTGGTCCAGCATTGTCTTATCAAACTATCTCTCAATCTACATCCGCTGTTGTTGGAACATCGATTTCTGTTCTGACAAGTGCGCCTGCACCTACCCTTGTGACTCCAGGCCAGCTCTTGCAAACTACGGTAGTCTCTTCATCTTTGCAGACAGTTCCAAAGGACGTGGAAGTGGTTCAAACATCTTCCTCGTTAGCAGCCGAACAAACTGTTCCAGTTTCAGTGGATACTCAGCCACCATTATTACCGTTACTGGTGTCTCCACGAGCCATTCATAAGGTGCTCTCTCCATGGCCACATGTTCTACATATACTTATGCAACGTCGTTTGGTTTTTGGGAAGTTCATATTGTTGACACTACGGTTAAGTGTCCTTAAACAAATATTTAGGCCCTTCTTTGGTGCAACGTTTAGGCTGTTCAGATATCAAGTGTAAATATGCATGATATGTTCCTGAGGCAGTTATGATGTCATTAGAAGTCGATGGCTATTACTTGTGGGTAGAATTTAGAGTGATTTGCATATTTGTCATTATCTCATTTACAAGGATCGGGCTATTTGTCTGTCTAATGTACCTTTCATGCTACAAAGGTTCTGACGTTTAACATCTTGTAATTTCACCAGCCAAATGATTCAACTTCACAAACTCGGCACATCTACCGGGGACGTGGTAGAGGAGGACGATTTGGGGTAATGTGTACTTCTTAAATTAGATTTATTATAACTAGGAGTGTCTCCGGCATCTATTAATATGTTAACAGGAGGATTGGGAACCTTGAAGATTTTGTGCATCGAATTACATTGGGTTTTTTTGATGGGACTACATTATATTTCCTGGTCGAACTACATTATATTTCCTGATCTGCTCCTTTATTTGACCTCAATATGAGCTTGATGGGATTCTAAAATAGACATGCTTGGTAGTTTATTGTCAATTAAATATTTGTAGTGCATTAAACAGCACTGCGCGCATGATTGCGTATTCCAAAGAACGCAATATCCTGGGTAAACATTTATGATTTTTTGATTGCAGAACTCGCATCAAACAGAAAGATTCACGGAAGATTTTGACTTCATGGCAATGAATGAGAAATTTAACAAGGATGAAGTCTGGGGTCATCTTGGCAAGAATACCAAATCTCATCCGAAGTTCAATGATGGGGATGAAAAATTCAGTGATGAAGACGATGCCTATGAAGAAGATGATGGTGAATCGTCAAAGTTAGAGATGAAGGTCTTAGTTTCTTTCAACGCCATACACTTCTGGAGATTTGTATGTTTAAGAAATGTTTGTTACCTGCCTACATAAAACTGATTCATATTATGTCTGCAGCCTGTGTACAATAAGGACGACTTTTTTGATACTCTCTCATGCAACGCTCTTGACCAAGAAGCTCAAAATGGAAGGAGGCCCAGATACTTCGAACAAATGAAGTTGGACACTGAGGTATGTTATGTGAGTTGGTTAATTTATTTATTTTAGAACTGTTTCTCATTATATTGGATATTTGTCACTGCAGACATTCGGCGAGTTTGCAAGATTCCGAGGTGGTCGTGGTGGTTTTCATTCTGGTCGTGGTGGCCGTCGTGGTGGTTATTACGGGAGGGGCTATGGCCATGTTGGAAGGGGTCGAGGGCGGGGCATGCATAACTATAACCAGTAGGTGCCCCTGATTACGCTTGAATTCTATAGACAAATGAGAGCAACTAAATATCTAGAGGATCTGCAATAACTTCTCCCCTTTATACTGTTGTGCTGAAATGAATAGTAGAATATGTGGTTCTCTTTTTACTTCAGAGGCATTGTTTCTGGCTTTTCTTTGTTATAAAGGTGCAGACATAGTTTTAAGAAGCATTGGTGTTGTAGCCTCTCTGTCGACCCATTAGATGTACCAAAGGAGTTCTATTGAGGCCTGACTGTTGACCATTATTTATCATTTTATGCTCTCTTAATTCATAGCTTTTGGAATATTCCTTTAATATCAAACTTGTTAATGGTTTGAAGCTTTGTGATTCTTGATTAATATCAAACTTGTTATTGAATTTAGAAATCGATTTGAGATCCTTTGGAAGCATTTGGAGGCGAGTTCGACGTGTTCTTTTTATTACTTCAACATTCAAAACGTATTTTAGTAAAGCGTGAGTTTGTCAATTCACCGGTCATGGAAGTATCATTTCTGAATGAAAATATACTCTCGACAGGTAATATGTTATAATCAACACGTACAATACTCTAATCATAATCAAAATGCAACGAGTACGATGCTCTAATTAAATTTATTTATTTACTTTGCTATACTTAGAAATTTAAAATGCAATTGTCAGATTTGTAAATGTAATAATGTTTTTTTTGTTTCCTGTTTTTGCAATAAATAAATTAATTAAAAACTTAAAATATAAAATATAAAATTTTAAAAGGAAAAAAAAAAAAAGTTATCGACCTCACACTGCCAGTTCCACTACGGTCCACTGTTGACGATACCTCTCATCTTTGCATCAACGCAACGCACTCTGCCTCCGACAGACATCAAACGTACTATCCGAAAAGCCCTAATTTTCTTAGTAATGTGCTCTTCTTCTTCTTTTGCATCTACCTTTTCTCTATTCCCTGCGAAGTCGCCGTCGATTTCACGACGACACAATGTTATTCCGCCCTACTCGCATCTGTTCCTCGGCCATCTCAGGCCCACTAACTCTAAATTTCGTATTGCTGCTTCAATTACTGAAAGAGACCTCGAGCTCTCGTCTTGGCTTAATCCCGACCATCCCAACAACGACGGCTATGGTGGCTGGATATTTCTCAACTCTCCAACCAGCGACGCAAAAACCGAGAGACGAGGTCAATTTTACTTCATCATCACATTTTCCCCTTGATTATCTATAATTTGGTTTGTGTTTACGGTATTGTCTTTCGCAGGGGTGCCTCGTTTCGTAATAGGCGTGGTCGGGACCTCGCTTGTTGTTTTGTTCGCAGCCATTTCTCACATTTCACTATCTAGACGAGGTTAGTTGGATATCATAATTCTGTTGTCACGAAATTGGGTATCTTCCTTTAACTAGTGGTTATATTTTTTAATTGGTTGAGCTTTTCTTTCATTTCCCTTGAGTATGAGTTACAAGTTGGCAAGATTTAAGTACTATCTTAGTAATGGGATTTTGTTACTACATAATTGCATGTGGAAAATTGAAAAGATTGTTTACTTAGTGACTATGTGTCTTTTTACAGGGTTTAAGTTCCAGTGGCGTACTCCTTTGAGATCATTAGAAGGGGTATTTAGTCGTATGGAAAATGAAAGCGATCAAGGCAAAACAGTGGAGGATAGTTTAACCAATCACGACCTACCGACTGAATCTGGTGCTGAGTCTATGCTTGATTCTAAGGTTTATGACGCTGTTACTTCAGGTATTCTGTTCCAACATCGATAAATCATAGATCAGGACGTATTATTACATTAAATGCTTCTTACTACTGGAATTTGAGTTGGGACCTTCTCTTTTAAGTTTGGAGATTGGGATGTTGATCTCATAGATATAATTTTGCCTCTCCGTACTACTCTTAAATTTAGTCTTGTAAAAGCTGTTCATGAACAATAGTTTACCTCGTTTGAACATCGTTATACTCATTCACCCTATGCTCGAAAGTACGTGTTGTTTCATAGTAATGTTTGGTTGCATGGAGAAATTTAAAAGGAAAAAGTTATGAAGTTGTCTCTTTGGGGTACTACGAGTGCATTGTGAGATGAAAAATCCCATTCCTTTGCCTGATAAGGAGGTTTTTTGGATGGAAGAATGAAAGTGAGCATATTTCATATGTATTGCTTTCCCTAGAGTCGTCTGTTTCTCTATAAGATTTACCTGTTGCATCACAAGATATAGTCTGGAATTGTGTTAGTAGGTTAGTCTCTGATATGAAGAGGATCGAGCATGGTGCACTTAATGCCTTCAACTTCTCATTTTACCCCTTCTTAACTAGCATTAAGATCATGGGAAGTCAAAGAGGTTGGAATGGCTAAAAGTTCACTTTTTCTTCCCTGCAATAAAATGGAATATTGCTAGTAACTCCCCAGCATCATACTTCTCTTTGTATTTTCACTGATAAAACCTATGATTTGTTTGGTATCTATAGAATGATTGTTCATGATAGCTGTTGATATTTGGAGTGTACTGTCAAGATATATGTGTTTGCGTTGATTGTCAATGATTGTGGCTACATATCTTGCCCTTGTGTGTTTTAGATATCTCAACTACATACAACCATGATAATCATACATTTCTTCATATTGTAATGTATTTCAGATTCTGGAAATAAGCCTGAACGAGTTATAATTACCACTCCTGTGGATTCTGCTCAAGATGAAGCTTTATCGATTTTGAAGAAACTGAAGGTCTGCTCAGGATTTTTTTTTTTTTTTTTTGTCAGTTTATAAGAAACACAAATTTAATCAAATATGGGAAAACTCTTAAGTTGGACCATGACAAGGATCAACTTAAATTTTGCTTCCTACTATATGTTGTAGATGCCTACACGTATCTAGAAATTTCTACCACTTTTTGGAATTTAATTCTAAAATGAATAATTTTGAGAAATTCTTAAAATTATGTGTATTTATGATACAAATAATTACAGTTTGGACATGTGAGTTATGTCATTGATTCTCATCAAGCATAGTTTCTCAAAGCCCATTCTTTTCATAATGAAGCCAACTGCACAATACAGTTTCCCTTAAATTTTTATTTTCATGTTCTGGTGTCTGGTTGTGCCTTGTTCCCCATATTATTTAGCCTTTCATTCAAGTTCATCGAGAAATAAAAGTTTAGGTCCAAGTGTGAGCATGAACATCTCAAAGAGTAGGATATATGTACAGGTTATTGAAGATGATATTGATGCTGGAGAGTTGTGTAGTAGAAGAGAATATGCAAGGTGGCTAGTTCATATGTATTCGTCACTGGAAAGGTAGAAATTAGTAAAGTTCTTTTCTGAATTAATATGTTCACCATTTAAATCATTTCCCCCATTCTCCAAAACAGGAATCCAAAACACCATATTATTCCATCAGTTTTGCTTTCTGGGTCAACAATTGCTGCCTTTGATGATATAAGTATGGAAGATCCTGATTTTGAGTCCATTCAAGGTGGGGTTTCCTCGTATTATTTTCTTGTTTGAGAGAAAGTGTTTAGTTGGTCGTAGCAGTTAATGAATTCGTTCTGGACTTAATTTCAGCTCTAGCAGAAGCTGGTATCATACCCAGCAAGTTATCACCAAACTACGGATATGATGGCTTGGGAGATCGGGAGAAAACCTACTTTTTTCCTGAGAGGTAGGACATCTGCATGAAATTTAGGATCTATTTGAATTCCATTTACGACCGTATCTGTAATGATGCAGGTTTGTATCTCGCCAGACCTTGATCGACTGGAAAGCCCAGTTAGATTATGAGGTTGTTCCTGGAATACTAGAACGGGTACAGAATTTCTTATTTAATCCATTACTTTTCAATTGATTCGGAATTGTTTCCTCTTTAAACTACATATAACCAATGATTATCAGTGTGTCATTGCTTTTGACTTTTTCTACAGTCCAGATATCAAGTACAAAGGTGGGTTTTATGGACTTGAAGGAGATCAGTTCAGAAGCATCGCCACAATTGTTCATGGATATTTTAGCTGGGGAGAGAAGCATTCACAGAAAAGTTTTTGGTATTCCTTTTATCCTAGTTATTCTGTTCTGTCTACGCACGAAGAGTTATGTACATTTTATATTGCCTCTAAAAAAACCTCTGAATGTTATACCTTCTGTTCACAGGTCAAATCAAACGGTTTCAACCGAACAAACCTTCAACAAAAGCACAAGTAGCAGTTGCACTGGTAAGTGGCAGGATGGCAGAAGCAATCTCTTTTGAATTATCAAGACTGGAATCAGAGAGATCTGCTAGAAAAGCTGAGATAGAAGATATCAAGTTGGAATTGTTAGAAAGAGGAGACATACAAAGGTATTGGGATAAGAAGCTAACTGAGGAGAAAGAACGCCTGATCAAGGTGGAGGAGCTTTATCTTACCGCTATCAGCGATTTGGGAGAGCAGAAGATGGTTCAAGAGAAGTTTTTTTCTGAGTATTTAAAGGAAAAGGCATCTATAAACTGTCAGAGGCAATTGCTTCTCAGCCTTAAGGAAGAAGTTGATGGGATGACAGAAAAGCTTCTTTCTGAGAGATCTGTATGTGAGGCAGAGAAGAGTGAGCTACACGATATGCACGCCCGTTTACAGAGCCAGCTTGAAGTAACGCTTGATACGAAATCTGTGCTTGAAGCTGAGAAAGAAGCTCTCCGTATTCTTAGGTAATTGACTTTTTAGTTCACTTGTCCTAGCTTCTTTCTTTTTGACTTTTGAAATATTCCTTCTTGCCTGTCTAAATTACTTTGTCTTAGTTATTCCTTCGTGAGGTACGTGTTGTGCAAGTGCCAGGACTGTTAGCCCTTTAGAAATAGGCAACAATATGGATTATATGTGCTTGTATGCTATAGAAGCTGTTGTAGCCTTTCGGTTTACAATACGAAATCGTTTAGAAAATAGCCTATGTCTATATGCAAAAGCTGAGGTTTGGAAACTCAGCTATCTTTTATTTTTTATACCATTGCATGCAGATCTTGGGTAGAAGATGAAGCAAGGAAGAGTCAAGCTCGTGCAAAGGTTCTTGAGGAGGTCGGACGAAGGTGGAAATGGGACGATCAAGCTTGAATTTTCTCACATACTGCGATGTAAAGTTGACCCCAAGTTCGTTCATAAGTTTTTTTTGGATATGAAACAGAGTTCGTGTCGTATTTTTGCTAGTATATTTGCGAAGTCGAATCAGGATTACAACATCTTGCTGTCGTAACAGACTTGATCATAAATCAATTCAGATCGAGAATTCAAGCTTAGTTTCATTCACTCAGAAGATAAAGCTTTTGCTTGTACTCTCTAGAATCTGTTGCTCCTCTGTT